CAATTTACATAAGGAATTTCCATTCCTGCTTTCTCTGAAAGTCGCTTATGCAGAACACTTATTTTTCCTGAAAAATTGGCGCACCATCGAAAGCACAAGAAATTTTCTTGCAATCCAGGGTCATTTTCTGTCAATTGAACTTAAAATGGTTTCGGAATCAGTGATTGCTAGATTAGTAATGCTCAAGAATTTTTCTTTTGCTTCACCGCAGTCAGTCATATCGTGAATCAACATTGACAACTGGCTCACATTCTTGATATTTGACAATTCGTCAGCCATTATAGAGTAACATTTGTTATCCAGTTCCGAGGTGTCACAATCATCTAGAACTTTGGCAGTGCAGGTCAGCAGATCGCAAACTATAGCTTTGCTTACATATATCAAACGGTCGCTCTAATTTTCCACCCAATACTTCAGGGAGTCGTCTTGTAGCATACGAATATGAGAAATCAAATGTCCATTCTTCGTAGTATGTGGGATTTCTTCTTTTGCTAAGAAGTAGGCGCTTCTCACAAATGCAACCATTGCTTCCCTGTTGCGACTACATTCCTCAGTCGACTGTTGAACAAGTAAAGTATGAACAGGTCTTCACGAAGCTTATTCATTGCTTGAGCATGAGCATGTTTTTCGGATATAGAAGGTTTGCCGATCTTCCCGGTATTCCCACTTGCTTTCGAAAGTTGCTAAACGGAGTTGTTATGAAAACACCATCTGTTCTATGTAGTGCACCTAAATAATTTTTCCAATATTCTCGGCAGTACTTACAAAACGCCCCTCTAAGGAATGTATAAAAAAACAACCATTCATATTTATCTTCCCATTTATTCTGGTATTTGACCGAAATAGATTAAGAGGGTGAGGAAGTTGCAGCAAGAGGAGTTGACGAATCAACATCACTGGTTCCAAGATGAGGAAGTTGCAGCAACAGGAGTTGACGAATCAACATCACTGGTTCCAAGATGAGGAAGTTGCAGCAACAGGAGTTGACGAATCAACATCACTGGTTCCAAGACTCGGCTGATTAACTTCAGTTTGAGCAGGAGACTCAACATCAACATCACTGGTTCCAAGACTCGGCTGATTAACTTCAGTTTGAGCAGGAGACTCAACATCAGCATCACTACTCACTATCTGTAGTTTCTTTGTAATAAACTGTACAATTGATTTTTGTGACATACTTTACCACAGTAAACTTCAAATCACAACGTTAAATAACGCAAAAAACAACCAACTAACGTAAAAATACAACTATATAAATAGTTTACACAAGGGCATATAATGTATGATCGTTTTTCTAGAAACGTCCATATGTCTAGTAGTGTCTACACATACTATTAGAAATTTGAAGAATGTTTGGTAATAAGTCTATATTTAGTTTATATAATCTATCTCTAATTCTGGATTCTTTGATACAATTAGGTGTCGACATCATTCGTGGTATCTTTCTTTTATTTACTTAAAATACACATTTTATTTAATAACATTTACAGTTAAATGAATAATATCTTACAATTTTACATAGTGCTAGTGTTACTAGTACTAGTACTAGTCTTAGACTGACATTAGACCTATAGAATATACTGATATACTGTGTGTGCTGTAAAAAGTGCAGCATGCTATACATTGGTCAAACGAGTCGCCGCTTAGGGGATTGTTCACGTGAACATATCTCTTACATAAAAAATAATGACCTTACAAACCCCACAGGTAAACACTTTAACAACCCTTCACGTTGCATGTTCGATTTCTCCATACTTGGACTCACATTTGCTCCATCCACTGTAACGCAAAGATAACGCCTGGAAAACGTTTGATTTATAGATTAGTCACTCTCAATCCCTTTGGAATGAACGAAGAGTTCTCTTTTCTTTAACTCTATCCTTTCCATTTCCCCGTTCTATGATTTATCTATAATTTCTCACACTGACAATTTGTGTCTACAACTTTTTTGTTCAAGGTACGCACTCTTTTTCCTCTCTAACCAATTTACTCTAGTCACCAACTTTTGTTACCTTTATATTTATTTTTTTCACAGTCGTTCTTTACTCCTATCATCTCATTTGTAGCTTCAGAACTTGTTCTCGAGCCTTTGAGCCGCGTGTTACTTGTTCTTTCAACCTAAACCTTGTATTAACAGTTTCATTCTCAGTGATGAAGGACTGTTGCCAGAAACATTTTTTACGTGTTTTATCAATAAATTTATTTTAATTTGGCACGTTTTCACTACCACTTTATATTCTGTTTTGCATTTTGTTATTTTTCCTTTCAAAATTTGTAGTGTAAATTGGAAGGATTTACACATTTTGATTACAAGGTGAGAGAAAAACTACCTTTAAATTGCAGATAATTATAAAAGAACTTTTTATTTGAACCAACGTTTCGCCTTTGCGTTGTTATTTCCTTGCCTACACAATTATTTTATTATTACACCTATACCATACTATAGTGAAACAAGTTTGAGTTGACGTTAGATCACTTTTCAAGTTCTTCTTCATTATTAGTCTACACTCATCTAAACTTAAAGAAAGTTTTTATTGCAAAAAGATCGTTTAAATAATACTGTTACGACAGCGGAAGTCATGTGACGCTGGAAGCATGCGCGTTGGAGTGTCTAGAAGGATCATGACTGTTCCCGCAACTCTAGTCTTTGCCAGACGTCCTCTATTTTAGTATATATAAGCCCGGCAAAAGAATTGCAGATAGATGGAGATATGGGGAGACAGATAATTTAGTCAAGTCGTAAGTAAAGTGCGTGAATCGTTGTGAATTATAGCGTGTGTTTAAGTTAAAGTGACTGTGGAAATTAACTGAATTGCAAAGTTGTACTGAGAAAGAATAAACTAGCTTTATTTAAGAAAGGTCTTGTATCGCTGAAGTTCTTCGGAAAGAATTTTAACGGGAAATTATCAAACGAACGAAGATGTAACAAATTGGTGTCAGAGAGTGGGACGAAAAAAAAGAAGATGGAAACGAAAAGTGGCAAATCAAACTACAGCTTAGCAGATTTGATGGCAGCAATACTACAACAGCAAAAGAAACAAGAAGAACGAGAAAAGAAACAAGAAAAGAAACAGGAAGAACGAGAAAAGAAACAAGAAGAGAGATTACAGAAGTTGTTTGAGGAAAAAGAAAATAAACAAGAAGAACGAGAAAATAAACAAGAAGAGAG